ATAGAGGTGGGAGGGCAGGGATGGTAGGGGAAAAACAAAGGAGGAGGCAACAATGCTTGATAAGAAATGTACTCATCATCTTGCTCATGTAATTGTAACCCCTCTGTTTGGTATTTTCATAATAAATTTTTTTTTTGTTTTTTTTTTTTGGGTCCGGTCTGGGGCCTGAACTCTGGGCCTGGGCACTGTCCCTCAGCTCTTCAGCTCAAGGCTAGTGCTCTACCACTTGAGCCACAGCGCCACTTCTGGCTTTTTTTCTTTTTGCTTATGTGGTGCTGGGGAATCGAACCCAGGGCCTCATGCATGCAAGGCAAGTGCTCTACCACTGAGCCACCTTCCCAGCCCCCAAACTTTTTTTTTTTTTTTTTTAAGAAATACCTGACACAGAAAAGCTTCCCGCTCTCCTCCTATTGGCCTAAGAAGCAGGATGTAAATTTATAAAGACTACTGCACAGTGGGAAGGACAGAAGCTGATCCCTGGAGGTGACTAAACCTTCAGATCTAGCAACAGAGAGATCTCCATAACAAACCTCATGCCCTATCTACAATCAGATTCTCCTTATCTTCACCTTCCTTCCTCCAGAAGCCTAAAACTGCTTTCCTTAGTCTCATTACTTCCCTGAAATTTGTTGTTCTGGGTTGAAGAATCCCTTAGAGTCAAGTTCTAAGCCACTGTTTGGAGTTCCATTTCCTTGAGGTTTCTGCTGGTCAGCACACTAAACTGTCTGTTCTTACTCTTACCCATCTGTCTTCACTTACAAAAGTCTGTCCTACCTCTCCACAGATTATATTTCTTCTCTCCCAGTCTGGATACCTGTTCTGCTTACCTGTTCATCAACCAATAGACAGTCACCCCCCACACACTGAGGTTTTGACTACTATAACTAATGCTGCTATGAACATTCATTATAAGTTATTGCATGGAGCAAGGTTATCATTTCTCTTGAGTATGTGCTGAGGAATGGAATTACTATGCCATAGGATAAAGGCACGCTTCATTTGTTGAAAAACTGCCAGTCTGTTTTCCAAATTAACTGCTGCATTTTTCATTCTCACCATTAAGTATGAGTTCCACCTTTTTACATGATTGCCAACACTTGGGATTGTGCATCTTTGCCCCAGCCATCCTGCAGGTGTGAAGGGCTACTTGGTGGCTTGGATGTATGCTCTGGAGCATCTTTTGATGTGCTTATTTGCACTGGTCTATCTTTTTTGAAGAAATATCTGTCTAAATCACTTATGCTTTCTCAAAATTAGGTTATTTGTCTATTTATTGTTGAGCTATGAGCAAAATAATTCCCTTGTCTGAAATTTGGTTCACCAACACATTCACCCACTCTGTTCCTTATTTAAGTTTGTGCCACATGTCTATTCAAGGGTTAAGGCTTGGCCTGTCTCCTAGACATGTTGCAATTTAGAAAAAAAGCAATCCGGGCTTACTGCAAAGTTTATGACATAGAGGATGTAGAGAAAAGAAAAATACACAATATCAAGCAGAGAGTAATGGGCTCAATTAACTTAGGCAAATGAATGAATAAAATGTATGCATTTAGTCCCAGCTTGCAACTACCCTGACTTAGTTTGTCCCTCTGCTGGAACTTCAGAGCAGTGATCTTCCTTTCCTGGCATCTGGTCCCCAGGGAGGTATGGAGAGTTGGGAAAGTGTAACTTTTTCCAGCTGGGTGCTCTCCACTACCTGTTTACTCCACAGATGCCCCGATGTATAACCACTGCCATATGGGAGGCTGCAGATTTTTGTGGTAAGAAGCAGTTTTGAGGTTCTGCTCTTCAGATCTGACACACCCAGTGATTTAAGAAAAAGAAATGGTTGTTTTTGCCAACCTGATACTGACATCTAGGGTTTTCAATGGTCCTGGTCATTTCTAATGTTCATTTGGATGTTTAATTAAGGGGATTTCATGCTTGCTTCAATACTGCAGATCTAAGAATATATCCCTCCAGTGTGGTTTACTATCTCAATCTAATTCCAATATGCACAGAGATGGAGGGGTTGGATTGGAAGCTGTGAACAAAGGAAGCCACATCTTCCTGCTCATCAGATCAACTTAATCTGCTTTGGAAACTGCTCTGGGCTGATAGATGGCAGTGGCCAGTCTGTGCACATCTGCATGTTACAAGATAATGTTGCAAACGACATTTGACACAATCCCTTGTATGTTCCCAGTGTTGAATTGCAGAAAAATCAAGAATGATTTTTTTGAAAAAAAGAAATAATCAAAGGAATGCTAGTAGGGAGTCACTGGGGTGAAACTAAGAAATCAAAGAAGGAGTGTGTATGAAGGCAATATGCTGGGTAAAGAAAGAAGAACAAAGAGGAAGAAAGGAAGAAGCTATGCACTGGTAACCGGATATTACCAACAGTCTATCTTTACACAGGCAAGAGCTGGCTAAGGTTATTTAGATGTTTCCACGGAGGGCACCCAGCTGAGACAACCGTGAGCTAGGTATGACATACATACGGGTGCAGGTGTCTGCTATTCAATGAAATGGCTGCTTAATTATCAGCTTCCAAACGGTTCCACCAAAAACAAGGGAGGAGGAAGCATTTTTGCTTCTAATTGCTTCTATATTCTAATAATACAGTAATATTATTGTGCTAAAGGGCATTCTAGCCACTATAACAAAATTTGTTGTAGCAGGTTTGGAAATTTATAAGCAACAGAGATTTCTTGCTCTCATTTCTGGAGGATGGAAAGCTCAAGATTAAATTTGTTGGAAGATTCAGTATCTGGTGAGGGCTTATTTTCATTGATGAGGCTGGCTAGCTGTACCCTCACATGGTGAGAAATGTAAACCAGTTCCTCCGACTTCTTTTTCTTTCTTTTTTTTCCTTTATTTTTTTGGGTAAGTACTGGAGTTTGAGCTCAGAGCTTCCTACTTGCTCCGCTTGTGTGTCTGGAGTTCTACCATTTAAGCCATACCTGCAGACTAGATTTTTGCTATTTAATTAGGAATGGAATTTTACAGATGTTACTGCCCAGGCTGGGTTCAAACTGTAACCCTCCAATTTCAGTCTCCCAAGTAGCCAGGATTACAGGAATGAGCTACCAGAGCCCAGTTCCTCTGTCCTCTTTTTATAGAGGTAGCCATTCCATTCACAAGGGCACCATCCTGTTGATGTAATCACTTCCTAAAAGCTCCACCTCTTAATACTGCTGCACTGGAGATGAAGTTTCACCACATCCTAATGTGTTTTAAGGAGAGATAAAAACATTTAGGCTGAGAACTAATAAAGTAAATAAGGTTGGTGGTTTCAGTTTAGTTTAGAGAAAACAATTTCTAAACCTAAACAGCCATCTATAGCATCACATTATTTCATTTATGCAGCTCCCCCATAACTGGAAATATGCTTATGATTTCTCATCATCAGGTGAAGAGAAGCTGTTTCACTATATGCTTTAAGGCACAGAGTTAATGCACTCCATTCTGGTAGAAGGGACAGACCATTGATACTTAGAGCACTCTATGAGGCTGGGAAGTAAATTAGGCGTTTCGTGAGTATTAGTTCATCTTAGTCATGTGGGTGTGATTATTATAATCTCATACTTTTCTTTACAACAAAAGGAAATTGTAGCAATGACTCACACCTGTAAATCCTTGCTGAGATCTGAGGATCTTGCTTTGAAACTATCCCAGACAGACAGCTCACAGGGACTTTTGTCTCCAATTAACCAGCAAAAGCTGTATATGGAGGTATGGCTCAAATGGTAGAGTGCCATCACTGAAAGAAAAAGCTAAGGGAGAATGTGAGGCCCTGTGTTTAATCCCCAGTATTGGGAGCGTGCACGCGCGTGCACACACACGCACACACACGCACGCACGCACGCACGCGCGCGTACACACACACACACACACACACACACACATTGACTGAATCATTCTGCCTGGCAGAATTAAGCATATCTGTCATAACTTAGAGATATATTTTTCACCCACGTCATGTTCTTATTCACCAGTTCTAATTGACTGGGGGCTGTTGTCTATTAGGATGTGTGGAAGGAGTCTGAATGCATGCCCACTTAATTCTGTCTGAAATGGGTAGGATGGAGAGTAGTGGCGTTTAATATAGAACGCAAAACATGGTGAATGAAGGAGAAATTGAGATAGGCCTCATTTCTGAGGGTTTATATTTTGAGGGCTAACTGCATTTTTATAATACTTTTCTTTCTCTTGCCTTTTCTGTTGTTAAGTACAATAGCCATGGCTAATTCTCATTCCTTCTCCACCCCCATACCTGCTGATTTATTCTGTAAAAGGGTTTCCTTCCTTAAAATGATGTCTTCACTCCTACTTGATAGCTGAGTTACAGTCATTCAATGAATGGTAGAGTAGGCAGAAATCCATTTCTAGTGTGAGTGACTAAGAACTGTGTGACTAAAAGACTGGCAGGTTCCGGAGAAGGACATAATAGCTTTGATGACCACAGACACATGAAGGTGGGATCAGTGCCACTCTTAAGAAGAGAATAAATGCATTTAACCAGATTTGTTGCCATAAAATCATGATTCCTGTGTTAGTTTTGATGAGTGACAGGTTTTTCCTTAATCTTTTCCCCCTATGTTTATATATTCAAATTTAGGGATTGGGCTGACAGATTTAAATAACTGATTTATTTTTAATATATTAATTAAGAACTTTCCATCCTTTTGCAAATTATAGTAATAATGTACCTACTTGTGGTTTATTATCTATCTATCTATCTATCTATCTATCTATCTATCTATCTATCTATCTATCTATCTATCTATCTATTATTTATCTATTTTTTGTGGTGCTATGGATCTAACCCAAGGCCTCACACATTCTAGACAAGTGCTCTAATAGCACTATGCTCTTAGCCCTTATTTGTGTCTTCATTAGGATTTTATATACATAAAAACAGTCAGATTCCCAGTAGAGTGCTATTGGGCTTGTCATTTTTCGGAGTGATACCTGTAGGAACCTTTGGTTTGTGAATCCTTATTAGGTTCCACACTTACCACACCATTTCACTTTCCAGTTACGATTGGCATCAACACCACGACAGTGAAACCCGTTCCTCGATCTTGTTTTTCTCCAGAATCGATCCTAAACCCAGCAAAGAAAGAAACACAAAAGGTCACTCTCATGCATCTTTATTTATATATCATTTAATTTTATTTGTTCCAGTCTTAGGGCTTAAACTCAGGACCTGGGTGCTGTCCCTGAGCATTTGTGCTCAAGGCAAGTGCTCTACCAATTTGAACCAGAGCTCCACTTCTGGCTTTTTGATAGTTTATTGAGATTCATACTTTCCTGCCTCCGCTGGCTTCAAACCATGATCCTCAGATCTCAGCCTCCTGAGTAGCTAGGATTACAGGTGCAAATAACCAAGACCTGGCCTTCTGATGCCATTTAGTTTCTCAATCAGTGAAGGATGTGTATTGCTCAGGGGGCGAACTCTTCTGTGAATAGGGAAACTCAGGGAGTAGAAAGGACTATATCAGCAGTTAAGACTCAGAGTCAGACTGCAGTTTTTGTCACAAATTTCCTGTTTCTTACCTTCTCTTGGTCTTACTTTTTCACAGGAAAACGAGTAGGCCAGTGATTTTTTTCCCTCACAATTCATTTAGAAGGAGAGATCTTTATTTATATGAAACCTTATGCAAATGTAAACTATGACAATGAAATCAAAAGGTTGGTGCTCTGGAGAGGAAGCAAAGGCTTTATCTGCAGCTCTGAAATCACGCAGTGGGCTGTCCACCATGCTACCTTCCTGTCCTATGTCTGACTTCTTTAGTCCTCTTTTCAGTTGAAGAGGCAAAGTGACTTACATGTGTCCAGCTAAAATGGTATCCATCAACGTTAAACACAGGCATGATGTAGAAATACAGATGATTCAACATTTTTCTCATGGCTGGGTCACTCCTGTATGTGAGAAGAGCCTAAAAGACAAAGGAGTCATTTAAATTGTTTTTTCTTATGAAGGGAAAAATAACATGAGAAACCCTTCCTGGCCTTAAGAAATATACATGCAGTAGGTTGAAAAGCAGTAAGTAAGTTGATCTATACTCTTTGACATTACACATTGAAACTTCCATCTGAACTAAACTTTATTACCACTAATAAGTTAGCCTGATGAAACAGATTAAATAGGCAGCCTTTCATAGTAATTCAGATTTGGCTACATTTTTAAATTGGTGAAGAACATAACATTTTTTTGTGGTACTAAAGTTTGAATTCAGGGCCACATACTTACTCAGCTTCTTGTTCAGCTAGTGCTTTGCCACGAGCCACTCTCAGCCAGTTTTTGATGGTTATTTTAGAGATGGAGTCTCTCAGACTTTTCTGCTGCAGCTGGTTTTGGACTGTGATCTTCTAGATCTCAGCCTTCTAAGTAGCTAAGTCACCAGCACCCAGCTTTGATATACTTTTTTTTTCTTTAATAATAAGATCATGCCAGACACTGGTGGCTCACGCCTTTAATCCTAGCTACTCAGGAGGCTGAGATCTGAGGATCACAGTTCAAAGCCAGCCCCGGAAGGAAAGGCCCTGAGACTCTTATCTCCAATAAACCACTCAGAAAACTGGAAGTGGCGCTGTGGCTCAAGTGGTAGAGTGCTAGCCTTGAGCTGAAGATCTGAGGGATAGCACCCAGGCCCAGAGCTCAGGCCCCAGGACCCACAAAAAAAAAAAAATTAAGTTCATCTTAGATTCCATTTAATTGTGGATGAAATAATGACTTTTACGTGTTGATATCTAATGCATGATATATTTTAACATGCAAGTTACATGTTATATCATTGTTTTCATCTAATTGGTTACAATCTCATCTCAAAACTTGAAAGTTCCTCTTTGCTTCTGACTTTTCTATGAGAAATTTAATAGAGAATACATTTTTGTTTTCTTTGAGGTCTTATTCCTTTGTGGCTCCTTTGAGGACTTATTTTTGTAATTAGGTTTTACTTACATCATATCTGACCTCAAATCTGAAGAAATTGCAGTATCAATTTAGACTCAAATAGAAAACCATAGCATATACTAAGTCAAGTTGATAAAGGAGACATTTTGAAATATCTTTTGTGTGTGTGTGTGTGTGTGTGTGTGTGTGTGAGTGTGCCTGCTCTGAGGCTTGAACTCAGTCTCAGTGCTCTCCCTAAGCTTTTTGCTCAATGCTAGCATGTTACCACTTGAGCCACAGTTCCACTTCTGGCTTTTTGTTGGTTAATTGGAGAAAAGAGTCTCATGAACTTTCCTCATCAAGCTGGCTTCGAACATCAGTCCTTAGATCTCAGCCTCCTGAGTAGCTAGGATTATAGGTGTGAGCCAACAGCACCCAGCAACTGCATTCATTTTTTTTTTTGGGGGGGGGGGACCTGAACTTTGGGCCTGGGTGCTGTCTCTCAGCTCTTCAGCTCAAGGCTAGCGCTCTACCACTTGAGCCACAGTGCCACTTCCGGCTTTTTTCTTTTTGCTTATGTGGTGCTGAGGAATCGAACCCAGGGCTTCAGGCATGCAAGGCAAGTGCTCTACCACTGAGCCACCTTCCCAGCCCCTGCATTCATTTTTATACTCATTTATTTGCTTGGATTTTCCTTTTACTATATTAAAAGAATAATTCAAGTTTTAAAAACTATCCTTATTGAGGTATGATAGTTCCAGAAAACTTTGTACATATTAAATGATATAACTTGCTGAGTTTAGAAATTATATACTCTATGAAACCATTATCGTGGTCTGTGTCATAAACATGTCATTGCCTGCCTCCAGAATTCCCTCCTGAACTCTTTATTTATAGTATCGTGTGTGGTAAGAACATGTGACATGAGATATAGGTGCAGTGTTATGGCAAATTTCTATATATAATCCAGTATTGCCAGCCATAGAGTCTGTGCTGTACAGAAGATCCCTAGGACTTACTGAAATCTGTTAAAACAAAAAATAAAAAAATGTTTATCAGTGCTGGCTCTGGGGCTTGAACTCAAGGATAATATTAACCATTTTCCTTTCTGGATTTAATGCTTAAAATTTCAATCTTCTTTTACATCTCCTCTAAGTAGATCTTCTCAGCCCATCACAGGCAGTATTTACAAGGTAAGCATTCTTTCCACAGGGAGGAATCAAATAATGCAACTTTTTTTTTGGGGGGGGTCCAGTCGTGGGGCCTGAACTCTGGGCCTGGGTACTGCCCTTCAGCTCTTCAGCTCAAGGCTAGCGCTCTACCACTTGAGCCACAGCGCCACTTCGGGCTTTTTTTCTTTTTGCATATGTGGTGCTAAGGAATCGAACCCAGGGTCTCATGCATGCAAGACAAGTGCTCTACCACTGAGCCACCTTCCCAGCCCCCAAATAATGCAACTTGTTATAAGGTCTCATCATATGACAAATGATGATGGACCCCGCTGTACATCACCTTGACAATAAAATTAAATTTAGAAAACAAATGATGTTGGAAATAGGTTACATTTAAGAGCATGGGTTAAGATACACATTTTTATTATAATTTAAATCATATAATTTAATGTATCCAGTAGATATATTAATATATCTAAATATACAAATTAAATCGAATTTAAATATCCACTAAATTTATCCAAGTTGGTAAACATTATATAGTTGTTTGTTGTTTTTAGGCTCAGTAATAAATTGTTGGCCAACTAGCCTGGAAAGAAAGTCATGTATAAAAAAACTTTCTGTTCACTGTCTCGTGCCCACACTAGAAGGAACTCTACCTGGTGTGTGTGTGTGTGTGTATGTGTGTGTATGTGTGTTTTCTTCCAAACAGCAGATTCTCTACTGCTTGGAGGAAAGTCTTCTGTGGCTATAGAAGAGGCAGAGTCACGAGGTTGGCTGTGTTTCTTTCTTAGAGATCTGTGACTTTCCAGAATACAAAAGGAGAAAGGGGCTGGGCACACAACGCAGGAAAAGGTACTAGGAGAACACGATGGCGTTTCTCTCCTTTGGCTCTGGGGAGAGTTGCTGGCTTACTTAGCTCAGCTCAAACTGGGCACGCCCCCCACCCCGTTCTTGAGCACAGATGATGTTAGCGCCAGTGTGGCAGATCAATGTGGTAATAACCTCTTATATTGCTTTCTCCTTCAATGCAAATCATCTTCATACCTTTAGATATAAAAGAATATTTCTAACTTCTGGAATTAAAAAATAGATTTTATTGTGTCTATCAAGGATTACAAGATGATGTTACATGATAACTATAGTAACATCTTTTTTTTTTTTTTTTGGTGGTACTGACGTTTAAACTCAGAGACTCATGCTGGCTAAGCAACTGCTCTACAATTGAGTCATACCCCCAAACTCTCTCTTGGGCTGGTCGTACATTTTTGAGATAAGCTCTTTCTTCCTGCTTAGACATGTGTCTGGACCATGATGCACCTGTTTCAGGCTTCTTCATAGCTGGGATGACAGGCATGTACTACATGCTCAGCTTCTACCACTGAGATAGCAGTATAGGAACTTTTGTTAAAATTTTTATTTTTGCCTAAACTGGCCTAAAACTGCAATCCTCAACCTCCCATATAACTAGATAAGAGGTATGCACAGCTATTCACTGAGATAGGGTCTTATGGGCTTCTTGCTCAGCCACCCCCAAGACTCTGATTCCTGAGTACCTACGTTTTAAGCCACCATAACTGACTATAAAATAGTTTTTATAATGAAGCAAACTCACATAACTAACTTCTCTTATTTAATCAAAATAACACATATAATTATATTATCTTTCTCTTTACCTCTGCCCTCCCCTCCAATTACTGTTTTATTATCTATTTCTGTGTCTTTAAAAACTATTTGCCTTTAGATTCTTCGTCTATGTGAAATAGGCAACATCCTTCTTTCTGTGCCCAGATCATTTCACTGAGCGTAAGCTCCCCAAGGGCTTTTTTGAAGTAGGTGCCAGCACCTCTATCTTTTTGAAGGCTCAGTGATGTTCCATTTTCTTTATCCTTGACTGACATGAATGTTAGTATTATTGCATATTGTAAATAATGCTGCATTGTACACTGTAGTAGGGCATCTTTGTGCTGATTTTATCCCCTAAGGACATACATCCTGAAGAGGGTCATATGGCACTTCTGTTTGTAATTTCCTTAACCCTGTTCATACTATTGTCCACAGTGGTGATAGCAACTTACATGCTACCAACCATGAGCTAGCGAACACAGTACTGTTCCTTTCTTTGTGTCCTTACAAATGTTTGTTATTTCTTCTCTCTGTTTTTTCTTTTCTTTCTTTTTTTGTGCCATTCCTGGAGCTTGAACTCAGGGCCTTGGCACTGTCCTTGAGCTTTAGTGCTAACAGCTAATGCTCTTTGAGTCACAGCTCTACTTCTGGCATTTGGTGATTATTTGGAGCTAACAGTCTCATGAACTTTCCTGCCAAGACTGGCTTTGAACTATAATCCTCATATCTCAGCTTCCTAGTAGCTAGATTTCTTCTCTTTTTAGTATTAGCAATCTTAATGCTAGGAGGGCTATCTCATAGTAGTTTTAATTTATATTTCTTTGATATGAATATTCTTTTCATATACCTGAGGTTTTTTGCTTTCTTTTTGGTGCTGATCCTGGGACTTACGGCCTGAGCATTGTCTCTGAGGTTTGTTTGTTTTGTTTTGTGTTTTGTTTTCCCCAAGACTAGCACTCTATCACTTGAGCCACAGCTCCACTTCCAGCTTTTTGGTAGTTTATATTAGAGATAAAGAGTCTCACCGACTTTCCTACCTGGACTGGCTTTGAACCATGATCCTCAGATCTCATTCTCCTGAGTTGCTATTATTACAGGTATGAGCCACCAGCACTTGGCCCTGATGCCATTTTATCATCTTCTTTGGAAACATGTATGTTCAGGTCTTTTGCCCATTTTAACTATCAGGTTATTTATTTTGTTTGCTATTAAGTTATGGGTTCTTTATAAATGTTGCATATTAACT